ACACACACACACACACACACACACACACACACACACACACACACACACACACACACACACTTAGCGAATTATATAAAGTAGGATTACTATGTTATTGTTAGAGTTGCTTGATTGGTTCTGCCGAATTAAAATTTCACTGTTACCTGTAGATAGCCGGTTTGAATGGAGTAGATCACTGAACTTTCCAAAGAGGAACCATACACAACGTATCCCATGACGGAAAGCGGCATGTAGAGCAGGACGACTACTGAAAATGAGGGTTTCTCAAATGTAAAAAGGGACTCGGTTCCGAATTCTCGTTTAACAATTAGCATGAGGAGAGGTGTGCAGACCTGGGGAGAGCGCATGAGTTAGCATCAGGTAACAGTTCTTGAAGTTGACAAGTGTTGTAGTTGGGAGGAACAGCCTTTGTGCAACCCCAAAACGATCTCATTCGTGTAACTATTCCCTCCCGTATCGAACATCTGTTACTAGGTGCAATGCGGAGACTGATCGGACGAATGGACAATGACAGACACAGTAGTCTTCACGAAGGAGCCTGGAGGCTACTTCTGATTGAGTTACCTCGTCCGAAAGACAAAATATTAACTTGCTTGCCCTAGCCTGCAGCTTATTAAACGAAAAAATCTGAACAAAAAAAAAATACACATCTGAACAGATTCCATGCTGGGTCCATGAACTCTCAGCGGGTAAGACACAGATCAAAAGCTCTGAGCCATGATCAGGATCTTGAAGGACGACTACATCATCTGATACCACTGCTCACGAAACAAGCTTCAGTGCATATGCCCACATCCCTCTCCCTCCCTCCCTCCATCTAGAGATGGCGTTCAAAAAAATCATCTTGAACCTTTATCCTTCCCGGGATGCGCCACACATTTTACACAATGAGGGTACAGAAATGGAACTTTTCCATCCTTCCTTTTCCCAAATCAAAGACCTACAGAAAAATCCGACAGCGACACTCTTGGTGAACTCGTGAGGGTTTTTCATGTCGTGCTGAATTGTGGGGAAGACATAGTGACCAGAGAAGGCGAACAGGAAGATACCTAAAAACGAGGAATGACCTCATGAAAATATATCAACAATATTCATAGAAATTGAAGAAGAGGATAATCTAATGAAGAAAACTTCCAACTCGCCCAGCGACAAAATAATAGAGCCAGACGTTTGCTCTGGGTAAGCCACTTCCGGGAAGCACGCTACGGAATCGATTCCTATACCTATAAGAATTGACAGCACCGCAATCACAGTAGTGGCCATGGCGATCACTACTACACCCCTGAAAAAATTATGAAAAGTCATCTTATACCACAGTGATTAATCGCTGGCAGTGTACAGCTCAAGAGACTGTATTTCACCGCTCTGCTGCATGTGAAAGCGGTTCAATATGCCAATCGCGTTTCATTGAATGAAGCGAGGTAACCTAAGGTTGACGAGCAGAGCTTTTGGAAATCAAAGATCTATTGAATACCTGACTAAAGAAGCGGATTAACAAAAACTCAGAGCACAGCAAAAGGGGTTTGAGGGCCCGCAAAAATAACATGAGCCGAGAGGTGATGTGTTGCAAGTTGGTTATTCCCAGCTACATGGCCAAGGAACGCTGGTCAAACACAAAGGCAAACATAGGCCAAACTCACCAAAATTCACCAGGACTCCTCAAAAATGTGAACGGAAGTATAACAACAGCGAGAATAACAATCACCTGAAAATCGTTACATTTGGAGATCAAATATATGGTAACGGCGCTCAATTGTTATAGCCAGTTTCATGATGACCGGTTAGATCACACGACCTTTCCTCTTTACTTTAACAGAGGAAATTGGTCGGCTGACCAGGAACTCATTTGCTTTAGGAGTAATGAATGACACAGTTCTACCACACAATTTTTGAAGGGAAATGCGGAATAACGTGAACGTTGCAAACTGACACAGAACCATGAAGGAGTTCCGTGTAGAACCTCGATATTTTGCTCTTGATCTTAATAGTAACTATACACTCAGAATTTGATTCTTTCCTTTATAGTTGTTATTGGGGCAGGGCTACCTTGTAACAGAGTAATCAAATTGTCAACTGAAGTCTTGAATTTTACTTGCTGACATCATCAGCAGATGACGTAAAAAGCGCACACAGGTATCGACAGTACGTCGTAAATACGAAAGCGCATGTTGGCTTCTCAAGCTAGACATATGTAGCTAGAGCATTTCGAGATATTCGTTTCTCAGATTTCTCTGAAAGCTTTCAGATTATGGACAGCAGACAGATTGGGCGATAGTCGCCAATATGGCCTGATCTCCCTTTAATCCAACAACACATCTATCTAGTTTCTCACCACGTGGATACTTTGCATTCCTGCAGGTACCGTGTGATGAGCTTAGCCAGAGTTCCGACGATAACTGGTGGAAGGCTCATCAGATGCTCTGTTTGATACTATCGGAACTGAGCGCTCTGCAATTCCACATCACGTTTTATTCAATTCAGGGAGGGAGGGAGTTCAGGAGGGAGATCAGAAAGAACTGAAAGAGCGACATGGCCCCTTGCCTCAGATGGCAGGAAGCCAATTAAAGGTGTCCTAGTGATCCAACTAGGTGTTGAGGTGATCCGAGCAGAATTCTCAGATGACCTTCTCTATTGCACTTTGGTAAGCAGTATCAGCTCTGCCAGGACACTAGAAGAGGTCGTCTCAGTTTTGTTATTGGCGAAGCTCCTGCGCACTTTGCAGATGCTTTCCCCGGTCTCCGCGCTCTCGACCAGTACTGCTGCTCTTTTATCCTTCATATCTTCTTTTGCCGCTTCTCTGCACAGCTTCGCAGGTTTGCTCGTTTGCTGGCTGGTGATTGCCCGTAGCTCGTGCGATTTCATGCTATCAGCTTGAGAGTCTTCGAAGAGGGACGTCTTTCGTATACTCGAAGATTCCCTGCTTTCCTAGCACTATCGTGAAGGTTCTCGGTCATACTGCTCATCAACGTTGTTAAGAACGGGATCTGCCCAGAAATTCGCAAGGAAAGCGAAGTGGTCTCAGCTGATGACGGGCTTGGGAGGTTCGTTTCCTGAACTTCGCAGTTCTATCTAATCATTGAAAAAGCTCTAGCGCGGAGGAGACAAGGATTCGATTCTGTGTAGAAATTCGGAATCACAGCAACATGAGCCAGACAAAGCTTTCGACCGGAAATGACGCGATCAATTTTATTGTGGAAGTGTCTACCACGTGGTTTCCGAGCCCTTCGCTAATGAGAAAGCTTTTGGGAGTGCGCTCTACAAACTACAACGGATAGTTTGGGTAAACCTGATAAAGTCGGTCTTTCATCCTGCTCATTTCATTGCATTCCGCGTATTCGATATATCGCTCTTCAGCCGGTTTTCGGGCCCAACTGAGTTGAAATAATTGACAATGGTCTTGAACAGAATGTGATCCTCTCTGAAGAGAATTTCCAGGTCCATATTTAACGCTTTCAGCTCAACTTCTTCGTGGCTTCATGCTGATGCGTAAGCTACAAAGATTATCAGAACTGGGATTGAGCCCCCTCCTCAACCACAAAAATCTGATTCGCGTTATCAAGCTTCCGTAGGAATCGATGATCACGGCTAAGTGCGTATTGACAAAGACGCGAATACGTTAACCCTTCTGCTGTCGCACGTTACAAGGAACGATCGTTCTCCATTCTCAAAAATGCCGCCAGCTGATCATTCTCATCTCGGTGTCATATTGGGGCTCCTCCGATTTTAAGGCAATGAGGCCCTCGAAGGAGGCCGTAGACAAACACCCCCGTAGACAGATTGAGTAAACTCGACCGGAAGAGGATTCACATCAGTGTTACATATAGATTTGTCACATTGTTCTGCCGTAAAGGTTTTTTGTGATGGAACCGTCTATTTGGTCCACTTTTCGAACAAATCGTCGTCTTCAGAACTGAAAACAGTTCGGAGCTCCTGATCTGTGACTTACCCGACCAAGCGCCCGCAACTCGCTAGCCTAGTTGCAACAGCTCTTAGAAACTTGAACACTAAAAGGTCCCACTCGAGAAACCAACCTTCTACGGTTCCACCAACGTTGCTACCCCACTCGATTCCGTGAACAACAAGGGACCAATGAGACACCATTGACAGCGTTGGATAAGAGTTGCGCGGTTTTCTCGAAGCCCACATAAAGGAATGAATGGCAGAAATTTGCCAGTTATGGCAATGCACTCATTTCGGCTGTTCAGCTTCGGATCTCTCTCGCGGATGTACAACGCTACCAGGATCTTTCTAGCGCCGGTCTCATTCTCGTAGGCTAAGACTTTGCATTTATTATCAAAATCATTGCCTTGGTGTACTTCTAGTCGCTGCTTCCCAAGTGGCATTAAGAGACTTCCACGCCTTTTCCTGCTAGATGTTCCTTGACACGTATGCCTAACATTCTTCCCGCCTCACCAATGTATATTTCGTCACCAGCTGAGCACGGAAGTTGGTCACTGTCCCTCGCCTCGCAGTTATTCGTAGAACATACACGATCCTAAAGTCTATTGCGGATAAGATGACGTTTGGTATTGTCCGTTGGCGGCATCGGACCAAGGCAACATCACTAGTCAGATACGCTAGAGCAATGCACTGTTGGATTTCTGCGCTGAATTTATCCGATACAAATGGAAGCCGGAGGTGCATAACATTCTCACGGTTTCTCAGAGAATAAGCTTTCGAGCCTGACCTTCTGTGTTGTGTCCCATAGCCATCAAGTTTCCGATATCGCATGTTAGCATACGTTGCTCCTCTCGTTTCAATTCACCTGTACACACTCCTGTAACCGTACTGTACATGTTACGAACTACTGCACGTTTCACAGCTTCAGGGTGAGCAGCCTTTGCGTGGAGTAGGATGTTCCTCGAGCTGTTCTTCTGATACCACTTCACAACATACCTTCTACCTGAGATTTTTAGCTGCGTGTTCAGACAAGAAGCTAGCCTTTGTGCGAAACTTCTCTTGTGAACCTGAGATACTGACTGTTGGTCGAAGATTTCAAACAATACATCCGTCTCTTGCTGCGCTGATGTTATTACGCAGCAGTCATCAATGTAGCGACAGTACATAATGGGCATGCGTGCTATGACTGCCTCTTCATCCTGCTCATGAAACTGATAGCTAACAATAAGACCGGTGGTAGCCGCTGTTCTATAGCAAGTCTTCGCTTTTGGGAGAAGTGCTGCCCGCTCCATTTGGAAATAGCACAACTAAGGCATTCCTCGATTAGAGCCATAATGTGAACCTTGCTCAATCCGAACGTCGCAATTTCTATTTCATGCTCGTCCAGCATTTCGGAGACTACTTGGAGAGCTTCGTTGTTGTTGACGTTCGTATCAAGCGGAGTTACATCAAACGACTCTACTACGCGGTCTCCTTGAAGCCTACGTGAACGCAGGCGATCAAGAAATTCATTGGTGCTAGGCAGATTTGAGGGTACGTATCGGGGTAGTTGACCAACAATTTTGTTGAGGAATCAGTAGGTACGGTCCGCTGGTCCTCCTTTAGAGCTGATAATGGGCCTAATTTTGTAATCACTTGCACTAACCAACAATTCGTCTCCGTTGGACAAGTTACGAGTCTTACTCAGGCTATAGAAAACCGGGCACGAAGACGTATCCAACTTCAATCTTCTAATAAACATTCTATCTAATTTTGCAATCATTCCGATTGATACCCACAAAGCGTTCAGCTTGTGACATTCAGGAACGCCTTTTCCGTGGACCATATACAGAGATATCACTAAGGTGGAGCTCCATGATTTCACGATCTAAAGAACGAGGTAGAACCTCTCCGTGAGTGATAAAGGAGGTTAGAACTCCTCTCTCTTGTCACTCACGGGAAGCGAAGTTCACCATCTGATACGCATTTTGTTCCTCTCGCAATCCATCTCACTGCTCGTTCCTCATGTTTGGGAACCTTTTGCGGCATGAGGCATGAGCGCCTTTGGAATTTTCAAGCATTTCTGATGAAAGTACTCAAAATTTATGTCTTTTATGGGTGAAGGTCTGGTTTTTTTTAGGATCATGGGAACAGCGGAGGCGCTAGCATAGATTCTGCACTTGTGCATTGAGGCCCTTCGCGCACTCCTTCGCAGCTAGTCTCTCAAAAGATGAAGCCTTGTTACCACCTGACAATACGTGAAAGGTCCAACCCCTAGGGCGATTGAAAACGATGACGCAAGGCTCAGAAAATCCAGAGCTTTCTTCGGTACTGATCCGCCGCCAATGACAGCGACTCGTGACTGAAGTTGCGAAATGTTTACTTGTTGAATGGTCCTAACTTCGTTGTGGTGGTTCGTAGAAAAGCTGCCCTCACTTTTGGAAGCATCTCCATGTTGCTCACTCCACAGTGTGTTGTACTTAGCGCATAGGGTGGCTTTTCCCGTAAATCGAGCAGAGTCACAGACCTCCTTTGAAACACGCTCTCACTTTCCAACAACGATCTGACAGTAGTCGTCTACAAGATTCCTCTTTCGCTTTACATTTCAATAGGCTGGAAAACAATATGTACTGCCTCTGTTTAACAACTACGTCTAGAATATTACGGTAGATGTTTACAAACTTGGGATGACGAGAGGAGTTCCGCACAAAGGCTGGCTTCCTTATCTGAACACGCAGATAAAGATCTCAGGTGGAAGGTATCATGTAAAGTGGTATTGGAAAACAGCTTGAAGAACATTTTACTCCACGCAAAGGCTGCTTACCCTAAAGCTGTGAATAGTGCAGTGGTTTGTGCGAGGGTTGCCTTTAATACAGTGCGTTTCATAATTATAAGGTCACCCTCGATTTTTTCGATCCCAGAGAAAGCAGCCAAAATGGAATTTTTCAGCGAATACTGGTACATTCCTCATCACAATGCACCTCCGTATTCAAATTCTGGTCGCAATATCCTTTACCACAAATTTTTTATGAATTTTTAAAGATAGTGTCGGTTTTTGCACCGTTTCCTAATTATAAGTCACCCTGAGAAAGTAAATGATTTATTAAGGTTGATGGCATATGTACAACAGCTAATAATCTATGGCTCTCCCTTGTCAAGAGCAACATCAAAGAGCCTGCGTGGCATACTAGAAACTAGGTTCCGACGATGTTCCTCATCGATTGCTCTCCATGCTTCGATAACTGCCCGCTTCAGCTCTTCTGTGCCCTTCTCCATGCTTCGATAACTGCCCGCTTCAGCTCTTCTGTGCCCTGAAACTGACGGTTATTTGCATAAACATGTCTGACTATTATGCCCCAG